ACCAAATACCAGAAAGTTTTCTTTGGATTGCTGCTGATTATCATAAGAGTACATGCAAATTTTAAGTCACTATAATTTTTCAAAAAACCCATGAATTGATTTAAAGTTTTGCAGGTAGCTTTTTAATAGTAATAGGAATCTGTAATAACAAATTCAACATGCCAGCATTGTTTAAATATACATATAGTCTATACATCCTTAAGGCAATAAGTTAAAAATTCACGTTGAATAGCCGGTTGGTTAGTTTGTTTCCGTTTGTTGAATTTTCCTCGGGGGAACTGGGACGGAAATCTTCGATGCCTCACAATCTTACGACGTGTGAAGTTTCCAGCGGGGTTTTGACATTTTGGAAACCGTCTACGTGGAATTTTTGATAAGTTTCACCGCGAGGCAATTTCTTGGCACCGGCAACTTTCCTTCCTTACCCGAGTTTATCGCCAACTTTTCAACGAATCTGGCAGCTAGCAATTTCCCCGGTTTACATCCCGGGAAACTATTCTACGAAACCACACATTATTCCATCCCCGGCAGCGTTTAATAACCAGTAATTCGACTTTCAGAATTGTACAGATTAATGATTTTAAAGATGGATTAGACCGAATCTTTTACAAGTTCATATAATAAATTATAATTTAAGTTCAAGTAACAATTGATTATTAATAATTAATTTATAATAGTAGACAGTAATGGTGTTCTGCTTGGTGAAGTAAACTATTAGCCAACGTCTACTCGAGGGTCACTTCCTATGTGGGGACGATTCTTTGCATGAAGGAGAGTGGAAAGGAAGAGGCATCTTGGACCACGACGACTAATCCAGCGGCACCTTAAGGGCACACTAGCTGGTACCTGCTCTGGTGATAAACTGGACCAGGCAGAGGATCAAGTGACGATGGGAACGAGGAGTTCGGTATACTATTACAATGTTGTGGTATACGTCGAGTCCCACGTACGACGTCCCTTGTAGTGCGTAAAAGCATCCTCCACCTTCATAGGGTAAGTGTCTCATAGCTTCTCATCTGGGTACGACACCATCGTACGAGCGCCTCGTTAAAACGCAACCCTAAATTTAGAGTCAAACGCCAAGTGCAAATTTTAATTTTAATATCGTGACGCTATTTTAAGCCGATTATCGATCAGACCCCGGTGGAGTCGGTCTAACTGGCTGAACTTCGACTGGTAACTTTCGTTCATCCCCCTTTCTGGCACGCTTCTCGTTCCTCGTGAGACTCTTTCCCGTTCCGTCCCGCCCCGGAGGCGTCGCGTTGCGGTGGGGAACGTGATAGATAAGTTCTCGACACTTCCGAGTGATTGATTGAACCGATAGAACTTACCTCAGGCTCATTGTACTATAATTACGCGAATAAGTGTAACAATCTATTCACGAGCTTGTATAATCTGATACTATCGCGATTTCTTATCAATATGTTTGCTTTTATCAGCGGTAAAAAAATTCTTTCAAATTATGCGACACGTTATTTTTCTTTAAATTATTATCCCAGTTATTGAACAAAACGAATTGCTACAATTTTAGGAATTTCTCCTTCCTAGAAACGTGGCACTATTTCACGAAATGGAATAAGAGAGAGAAAAAAGGAACGTTAATGCTTCGGGGACAGATAGATACAGAGAACTGAGAGGGTAAATTTTGTTTATCAGCGAATGTAAATGGGTACGTTAGTCAGAAATTTAGTTAGACCAGCAACGCCTCCGACCACGTTTTCCTCCGGCGTGTATCGAATTCAATATTTAACGGGGCATTACGCGTACTCTCGAATTCAAATCTAATCTCCTTCCTGTCTCTAAGAACTGCGTCCGATACCGAGAGACCTCTTATTTCTTCGTTTCCTTCCACCTTCGTCCTTTCAGAGGCAACATGTTGCGCGTGCACGGTTTTTGGTTGTGCTATAAAAACTCTCGCAGGAAATCTCCCTTGATAATAGCACAATAAATCAAAAGTAATTCATTATGTTTATAACTGATTCATTTTTGTCAAGACTATAGAAGCATTTATATTTATTACATGTATTGCATTTAATAGGGGACAAATGTTATATAAACTTGTTTTATGTTCAATTTAGAAATCTCTGGTGTTAATATAGAAAATCATCATGTGCAATGTTAAAGAATAACAGCAATCAGATTCTACGAAAGTTCTCAAAGGATAAGAAGATCGTGAGAATTAGAAAGTAGTGGTCGAAGCGAAATAAAATTGAGTAACACGTAAGACTGGCGGAATTTAATAAAAGATTCTGCACACGGAAGACGAAAGTGTAAGACAGAAGATAAAAGCTAAGCTAAGGAGGTTCAACTTTTTAAAGATTTTAGAGACTGTTCTCCAAAAAGTATTTTATTAAAAGTATTATTTTTATTTTTCACGTCATATTAGAAACTTTATTTGTATACAACGTGAAATTATTTATAAGACGAATATTTCTTATAAATCTAAAATGAAAAATAATGAAATTCGTTAAAAGACTCGACGCTTTTCCATTATTTTATTATCCAAAACGTGAAGTGAAACAAGCAAATAGAAATGCATACGTAGGAAGATGGAAAGGACTTCGTGGTATTCGTATACGAAAACCTGTTCGATTTTCAGCTCTATGTCGATTTCTGTTAGAAGCATTTATAGTTAGAAAAGAGCAGTGTATGTTCTTTTTGGTCGTTCCGCTCCGTCAGGCCGTCTAGGATTTCCGGTCGTAGGTGTAGCATTCCTTTGGCGAAACGTTTTTGTTTCCGGCGCTCGGTCCTCCAGGCATTTCGCGAAAATCGATACGGTGACCAGATAAGCCGAGCGACTAAGCCTGGCTAAAGTCCTAGAGGATCGAGTTCGCACATGGGGCTGCTGTAGGGGCGGCCACCCCCGCGTGTCGTTCCGCTATCTAGCGCTTAATTACAATCCGCCGAACTATCGTTCCCACTGGGTTTTTCGAATAGCCGGAATTCGGGGCTCGCGTTCGAGCGTCAAAGGGCGAGCGTGCTGGTTTTTGTAAAAATAGAAAATTCACCGTTATCTATCACCCCCTCCTGCGAGGTGAATAGGAAACGTGTAATTACGGTCTATTTTTAGCTCGGTTTTGATACCCGGTTAAAATGAGCCTCGTGAATATTTAAAGCTTTCGGGTCTCATGAAGATGCTTATAAGTTAATACATTTTAAATATATTTAACGTAATAATTAAATAGAGTTCATATTTATTCGAGTACATACACGAGGTTTACACAAGTTTTCAAACATAGAAAGATATTAGACACTATATACAGTACGTTGTAGGTAATTACTTGCTATATGTTTTCTTATTTATCTTCTAAAGTCGAAACTGTACTTATGTATCGTTAGGAATTTCGTATGCAACGCGCGCAACATCTACTTATGGTCAAATAGTTTTACGAGTCGTCGTAAAAGGGTTTAAATAATAGAACTGACTTCCTTACGTCTCGTCGTTTTCACTTGGTCTGGCCAACGTGAAATCTAAAATTTCGTCGGACGTCAAGAATCGTACGTCACTGTCTTCCGAGAGCGCCGATCCGTTCGCTCTCCGTTTGTAAGTCTTCCTTTTCCGTAGAACGACGATCGCGATCCACGTCGAGACTGATACACCTGCTAGCATGGCAACTACCATCGCGATGATACTCAGCAAACTGAAATGCGGCGAAGCGCGATGCACCTTCTTCGGATCCTGTCTACTTGCTTCGGAATCTGCGAACAAGACGGCTTCGTTGAAAAACTTACTAGTGAGTACGAGAAACATGATTTACATAACGTTGGTTAAAAATGAGATTGCGATATCTTAGAACAGACAATGCATAGATGTATTTTATGTCGCTTCATATTCGACGTACGACAAAAGGTGACAGATTGAAAAATTACAATAAAGGAATGTTTCGTATTCATAAACGTAAACTCGTTTAAATACATAATTAAATGACTACAAATAAGAGACTCGTTTTTGAAATACAAAGAAATCAACAACCGCGATAAAGCTAGCGGAGCGTGAACCGCCCCCAAAGATAATCTAAATTCCAAGCACGAACTCCTACTGACCCTATTCCTCCCTTTTCAACTCGAAAATTCATTCCAATGCGCACAAAGGGAACACGTTCCGCCATCGGGTACCAGTCAAACTTTCACAATCGAACCAGAACAAGAATTCGTGTTACCGGGTTGTCCGACCACTGGCTCGTATCTGACGGTGGTTGTGGTCGGTCGTACGAACGGCGTCTCCTTCGTTGGAACAGTGCTCGTTCCGATGCGTCTGGTGCTCTTCGTTGGCAACTGAGTTCTCCTCGTGGTGACAACGGGTCTCGACGTGATGGTTGTAACATTCGCGATAGGTCGCAGCGTGGCTGTAATGTTCGTAACGGATCCCAGCGTGGTGGTGCTCGTCGTTGCCGGCCTCAACGTGACCGGGTCGATGTCATCCTTCGGGTTCATCGAGAAACCAGTCCTGACAGTTGCCACGTCACTTGCCGTCACGTTCCTCGCCGTCGGAACCGAAACACGGGTGAGCACCGTCGTTTGCGATGCTGCCTCTGTCCACTCTTCGGTATATGCTGCGAATCAAAGAATTCTTCTTATATTCTTAATACTTCAATCTATAAAATTGTTATTATTGACATATTGATTTGTATTAGAGACGAAATAAAGAATACATGAAATATGAAATGCATTACACACATTCTATTAATCTATATTGTATATTTGAAATAATTATTTTAATTTGAGATGTTTTTCAAAATGTTTTATACTGGAATACTGTGCTACGCGGTAAGTAATCTAGCATTCTTACATAGTACGCAGTACTCGGCGTAATCCGGACAGCAGATCGAGTGTTCGGCGCAATCGAGGGTGCAAAGACAGGCCTCGGATGGCGTGGGCGGCACCGACGTTGTAAAACTATATGTCACACTATTTTTACATCTTCCACGGCAACTTTGCTGCGCGTTCACCAGTTCGATTTGATCTAGAAACCATTCGAAGAACGTATAATCGACTTCATACGTTCATTTAACTGTAAAAACGCAGTATGCAACATTTATAAGTAATATATTCTGTGATATCCTGTATCATTTCAATTCCTTGTAACATCTGAAATATTGATTAGGCTACAGTTTTCTGTATGCGTGTGTAGAAAATTTTATTATTATTAAGTAATTATTAAATCCTGTATTAAAAAATCTCAAAAAATAAATTCATATTTAAACATGTTGAATCTAATTATTATTAAATTGATATATCTCTGCGTATATGAATTACGAGATAATTTATCGTTCACATAAAACAATCATTTCTCTGCATTCAATTTATCAAAAATCGATAATTAATACCCGATTTAATTACGTTCTTGTAGTCGACGATTGGCACACGTTTTGCCGGCCTCGTTTAAGTGTTCAAGTGTCTGTCCCATTGTTCCATAATGCCGCGGCCGCGGCGTTTTAATTAAAACATAACTGGAAACGAACGAGCGAACGGGCGAATCGCTGTTCCCACGTTTTTTATCCGTATGCCGCGGCGCCGTGAAAAATAGAATTGTAGACAGGTATATAAATTACCATAGTCGCTCTCGGTGACGCCTTCGTTCTCAGTTTCACTCAAGTTTCGACACTTGTCGCCTTGTAAAATGGCCACGTCGTCGACGGCGATGTCGCTCACGTAACTCCTGCCTCGTATACCCTCGATTATGATCTGAAAATAAACGACAGAATGCGAAATAAGGGAATTCCTTCAAGCTACCCTCTTACTATTCAGTTTATTCGTTTTGCTTCTTTTATGTATATTTACCTGAAAACCTTTGTCGGCTTTAGGCAGGTTGAAAAAACCCTGCAGCCACTGGTTCCCCTGGTCACCCTCCTTACTGAACATAAGCCTTGGTAGCAAATCCTTTTCTTTCTTAAAATATACGTTCAGAGTCCCCACTGTTGCTCCATACATGTGATACCTGATATTCGTGAAACACGTTAATATTTCTTGATAGTTACAATCAAGTTAAAAGAAATTCTTGAACTCATATTTATTTTTAATTTTGCTATATTATCAAATGTAGAAAATAATAATAGAATTGTAAAGGGAATCCGATGAATTCATTTTGCTGTCCCGCAACAAGCAGGTGACATCACATTCGGATAATTGCAGGACACAGTCGTCCTCTGATGAACCGGCAACTAATGAACCCAGTAATTACTGCGACCTATAATACTGCCCATTGGCCAACGTAGAAATTACCCGTCGAAAGATATGGTTTCTCCTGTATACCACATTGAACTTTCATTAGCCATTAGTCTGGCATTTACAGATTTTCTTCTCGCGTGCGTCCACGTCGAAACGGGAACAACATTTAACATTTCTCTCTGGCGTTGCAGTGATTTTATTTTTAGACATATTTCTGTTTTACGGGTACAAGGAAAAGTGAAACCATATTGTACACACCGAAACGACCATTGATTTTTTTTTAATTCAGATACGGCAATCAAGATTTATTTAAAGAAAATAGAAATTACTTTACCAGAATGAGAAACAGCCGGAATCTGTGTACGACGAGTTATAAATAGGTGAAATAATTCTCGCCGTGTCGTTTTCTAACCGACCGGATGCTTCGATGTACAAATAATAGCCTGAAACAAGTATGATTTACATAAATCAAACTGTACTCTTTTTCAAATAGAAAAGAACAATTTTTGGGCTTGTAATGAATACCTTCGTTCCCGGCGCCCAACGTGTGATCGTGAGTCGGACCAGTGCCGATGTGATAACTCGGAGTCCCGAAATTGTGCCGCTGCCAGTCGAAATCGTGATGAGGATCCTGTTCCCACCAGCAAATATCCGGTTTCTCAAAATCGCACTGCGCCGGCGGTGCCGCGTTAGTGTCTAATTAAAAACAAAATAATATAGGACGCATAATCTGATTCCGCATAAGATTAAAAAATTAGTTTGTTTCAAAATAAGTGCTGCATGTAATAAAACACGACTGGGATCGTGCTAATGAAGCTCGGCTGAATTACATTACAATTATCTCGCGTGGCAAGCTAAATAAAAGTATCACCTCGACAATGAGGCACGGTGGTGTTCCATTGCCTCCCGTCGCAATATATCTCGGGTGCGCCAATTAACGCGTACCCGGGTTCGCAGAAATACAACAATATCGCTCCATTATATTTCGTAGCCATCAACGCGTGCTCTGGCATCGCTGGCACGGGACACTCTGCGTCTATTACGGAAGGATGAAATCAATTACCGATGGTCACAAATTACGTGAAAGAGGATCCGAGTGAAAACTGCTACTCTTCCGTCGCGAGATTCCTTGTACTACTTTTTGTATTTAATATCCATTTAGGATATTGATACGTACGGTCAAGCTCCATTATTACTCTTTCCTAATATTTAATTAACTGATTAATGAGCCTGACTTTCCGATACGAAAACTTCCAATATTTTATATAGCAGCCTCTTAATAAATGTGCGAACAATGATCTAAGATCTGAATTTAAAATAAATTCTCTGTATTTTCCAATGGCAAATGTAAAAAATGATAGTGGGATAAAGAAGAAGATAAGAATAAGTAGGTAACACGATCCGGGTTTAATATCCGTGTGAGGCAATACTATTTTATATCCAATATATATTCCATATCATATTACAATCTTGTTCAGTTACATCCTCTTAGATTGGATTGTTATGGGAGGAGTCCGTAAAAATATCCAGTAGAACTTGGGACCAATACGGATCGTACATGATAGTGGGCCCACATAGAAGATAGGGCCCTCAACTTGACAGAGCGAGGATACATGTGATGAATTAGAATCTTATACGGTAATGCTAGCAGACGATTGAGTCCTTCATTGATAAAAATAGTATGTTCCATTTTCTATTACAAAATTGGATGCAAGTGAAATCTTAGTCAATTAGAACCATGTATTGTATATTACTGAAGCCTTATAGAAAAGCACATTTTTAAGGAATCCCTCCGACTAGAAATGAGATGCATTCATCGTAAAAATCGTTTGAGAATTTATTTTCGTCAAAACTAAAAACGCTTCAGCAATTTTAGCAATGTGAATCAAACCAAAATCGCCTATTCTAACAGGTTCGATTGTTGCAATGCTAAAAATACTGGAAGTATTTTAATAATAAAGCTTGCAATTTGTAATAAAATTATAATTATCATCGGAAAGTTGTACTTTGCTTAGGACATTTTCTTTTAAAAATTAAATTGTGAAATGATTCTTAAACGCGAAAGACTGTTAATTTACTTGAAACGATTGTATAATTCAGCTACCTATATTGTAAAAGGAATGCTCGCTGGAATGCGTCAAAGGTAGATAGTTAGGCAGGTAGGTAGGTATGCAAATTGAGAAGCGTTTCAAATTTAATAGCGTTAAAAGCAAAGTTTTCCACAATTAACAACGAGGTCGAACAATTTTCACTGAGATCCACCGTTATAGTTTTATCAAGTTGTGATTAGAAAGCCGGTGCTTACTGACGCATACAGGCGTAGGTGTATCCCATTGGCCTCGAATACAAGTGGCATACTTGTTACCGACGAGGGTGAAACCCTCGTAACAATTAAATCTGATCACCCTTCCTTTGACCCTTTGCCGAACTCTCCCGTTTGCGAGCCTCACTATAGGACATCTGCCTGTGGATCGAAACCGCGAATTGAATTATCATGTCTATTACCCGTGAAAGAGATACCAAATCCAATGAATCAAATTATTGCAATCAGGTCTCTTAGCAAAAAATAAATATAACCATACATAGCTTACCTTAATAAATGTTATAATAAATTTAAGTAGTAAGCAGTTTTTAGAAGATAAAAAATATTAAATAAGGATATTAAAAAATAATTCCTTCTTATAATTTTAATTTTAAATAAACGTAATACGTCGAATGACAATATAAAAAAATAGATTTCCACTTTCCAATACATATAATGTGATTAAAGTTTTGACTCATCGATCCAAATGACGTAGAATGAATTTTGACTGTGATGTAAAGGAAAGAGACGGTGGATAGATCAATATGATCTTATGCTTTCAAATGGCCATCGATAAACGGTGTAGATAATTTTCAATATTATCGAAGGACCGATTGAAACCCGTAAGCCAGATGAAATTGGATATTAATTCCTGTTCAACGAAGAAACCTTTCGACCCGCTTCTTCGCCGCAGAAATTTTACTCCGGAAGGAACAAAAATAGATTCTTATACTTGAAAATTAATCTGGAAAATCAACCCCGCCGAAAGATATCGATACCTTTTTAAATCGTAGTTGAAGAAACGCAGAAATAAATGAAATTGAATATGACGAAGGTAGACAGGCGAATAAACGTTATCGAATTTACTTCGGTTCCGTAAACAATTTTCATACTGTAGACAATTTAATAGAACGTTTTCCTGTGGGAAGGAAACAAGAATTTCAGGCAAATGTTGTTATTTTCCAATAAAATAGTATCGAAGCAACGTTAATCACTTTATAGAGTGAAATCTCGTTACTTCTTCATTCATACAACTAAAATTCACTAAAAATGAAGAGCAAGGTTTTCTCTTACACAGTCTATGTCGAAGTAGTGAAAAGTATTGCAATAATTTTAAACTAATAAGAAACTGATTTTCTACGAACGTTCATTCTGAAATCTTATCCCAAACAACTAGTATCGCATAAAATCACTTACTCTTCGAAGGCAAACTAGAAACGGCACAATGCGCGAGAAAGACCAATAGAAGAAGTGGCACTGTGAAAAATATCTTCATCTTGAGAACTCCCTGAGGAAACTATTCACTGTATTCATAACTCGCAAATCAGAATCTATAAATCTTCTTTTTCTTGCAGTGATACAATTTTACTCGTTCAAATTTCAACGCACATGTTCGTACGAACACCGTCAGGAAAATAGAGGAAGTCGAGTAACGAACGACGAGAGTGCACAGAGGTCGAACCAGGAAGAGAAGATGACCTGCGTTGGTCTGGTGTTACAATAAAAACTAAAATCGGTTGCTGATCGTTCTGCATCTATGAATGGGACAGGGATGTTGCGTGCTCGGAGCTGCTCCGAATGGAAGGCGGGAACGTTACTTCCGTCGACGCACCGCAGCGATAGTCTTCTATCTGCTTCCGGTAGACCTTATCGGCGAAAAACATTGCCAGGCCTTGAGTAGAATTCCTACAAATTGCATTTTGCGTCGAAGATACATGAATCCGAGAAGAGAGAGGAACGTTGACTCTGATTAGACTGCGTCCTGTGGCGCCAGGATTCTTGCCTAGTCGTTCCGCGCCGACCTTCAACCCCGTAGAAATGATGTTTCCTATATCTACTTTGCTCGTGTTAATATCGTGTAACATTTCCCAGCACTGAACTTGGATGTAATGACAAATAAGAATACTGCATCATTTGTATCAAATTTTATGTATTTTATTACCAAACTAAATTATAAAATTATGGTACATTATTCGCAACTTAATTAATACATTTTATGACAAAAATCAAATACTTCTTAATAATTTATATGATTGTTTTTTATGTACTTATATGGCGCAATTCTAATACATCATCTTCGATATTTGTCGAAGATTAGCGTTCGTTCAAGAGTGACCTGAACATGAGAAGAATTTTATTAAGATCTTTGCTTCTTTTGGACACCGTCGATGATGGAAATGACGCTTTCTCGAAATGTGACATTACAGAAAATTTCCTCATGTATCTGTCTCCTTCATGTTGATCCGTTTGAGATTGTAATGTTTTGTCAAAAATAAATGTTTGTTTTATCCGATTCATAGCTTCTTCTGTGACAAAAGATTAAATGGATAAGTCTACATCTTCGTTGTTCAAACATACATAAAGCAAACAAGGAAAACGATCCTGACAAAATGTCCACGAAACTAATTGTAAGACTCACTGATAACGCAACGCGTGACAGCCTAAACGGAAATATAAAAATTCCCGTGGCCCGATAAATCGAGACAAAATTAAAACGGCGCCTATCATGCTACGAGAGTAAAAAAAGGACAGGACGAGTGGGTCAATGAGAAGGACTAGCAGCAATCGTACTAACGTTCGTTTTCGTGAAGATGAAAATTCTCGAAGGCATTTAAGTTCATCATGAACATGTGGAACGAATCCTCGATGTCCGAAAATCGAATCACAAAATCGGGATCACAGATCGCTAAATGAGACAGGAACTTTATTCCATCCCTCAGTACCCTTCCTTGCCTCCTCGTAATATTGGTCCGAACGTTCACATCCGAAAACTTATCCTGATATATGTCAAGTATGCACCTGCTGTTTGTTTGCGTATGAAGCAGATTGTGTTTGGTACAGACGCTCTTCAGAACGCAAGGATAGTCCCTTGGCACAGGACAATTGTCTATATTGAATTCTTTAATGCTAGCCAAGTCTACTCTGGAACAATCGCACAGCAAGTTTATAGTGCATCTCAATAGTTTCATGCAGCAGTTGCAGAATGATTCAGATCTCAATGGAATCACGTCCGTTTGCAACATAAACTGCGCGAATCGCAACAGCACGTCCGTGATATCTATTGCTAATATTGGGTCAAAGTTATAGATTTCCACCTGTACCAAAAAGATTTGCAAGGCACAAGCGTCTGAAACATAAAAATATTTGTGAAGTAGACTTATAATTTGATAGAAAGGGACGATGAACTTTACCTGGAGTGAAATGTAGAGAATCTTTCCAATTGTCCACTGCTATCGATTCTACATAATATAATAATTCTGATTCACTAAACCATTTTAAACAATAAATTTTAGTACAACTCACGAATATCGTAAATTACGTACGTGAATTCGTACAAAGTTTCCGTAGGTACGTCGTAGACCTCACAAAAATCATCATAATACTGCTGAGGAAACTGTAACAATATGGTAAAGGTCTACAGAATACTGTTTCCTTAAATATTCTATAGATAAGCTCGATCCTAAAACACAAAAATTGAAAAATATACGCATTTTACGATCAGCAACTGGTTTGAAAGAAATATATTTCCAATATATATACCCTTGAGAACAATATTCAACTTTTTTACTAACATTACAAATAAGCATTAGAATTGCACATATAAGACCACTGAATTGATATGACCTTCTCTGAAAAATAGAACATTTCAGTATTCGATTTCCATTCATCATTTAAAAATATCTTCAATTTAAATTACCGTAGATCCAACCAACGTGATGAAATGTAATATCATGGTAAGCATCTCTAACTCGCTATCTTTTCCTTCCCACGAATTATAGCGAATCATTTGAGGCGAGTATGACTTATAGGACTCGTCACTCTCTATACGTAAACGAATTTTACCTGCAACGTATTTGCTGAGGTAAGTTGATTCTGAGGCTACGTATGACAACAGCCCGAATATCCTTCTGGCTTCGACGGCGCGTTCGTGTTCGTGCCACGCGTTCGGGGAGCAAACGCATTTCCCGTTGTAATCCGAAGTTGCATATAAGTCAGAGAAATAAATATCGTTCACATCACGAATATCGTCATTTCCCATTGCTTGGGAGATCGTTTGAAGCACAATTAATATGTTCAAAAGCAATTCTCTCGAGGTAGAAATTAGCTAGAATATAGAAAGAACAGCAAATAATGTTAAGGTTCATTAGATGATAATTCTATTAAGTTTAGGACAGTGTACTTTGTTTATCATTGGCACTGTGTGTTCCGCCTCAATTTCTAAACTCGTCTTTTGCTGAAGAGCAGCCACTTCTGCCAAAACGAACTCTACAGTTAATTTTTTATCGTCTATCATGGTCGCTACAGGTTTTATCAATTCTGGTTTCTCTGCAAAACGGTAAAACTAAAGATGCAAGATTTATTAATTAAAATTTTAAATGTAAAAAGAAAAGTTTACCGAATATTCTGAACTTATTTTGTTCCTGTAAAATAGGCAACTTCTGTGGTCCGATTCTTTCTGTAATTTTTATATCGATTACAGATTTTTCGGGTTGTGGCATATCATATATCGACTTAGGAATTTCTGCAAGAGGGAAATCTGTAATATGCCCTTATTAAGTATATCATTAATCATAATCAGAAACATTCCAGAAATTAACATTTGTAAAATTGCAATCTACGCACATTGATTCGATACATCAAGCATATAAACGCTTTCGTCAAGCATATTAGTTTGAACACAACTTTCTCTAACTTTGATTGTTTTTCTGCTTGGAATCGGAGATCTGACAATCAATGTATAAAAAGATATAATTCTCATAATGATTTAAATATGCTTCTTCAAAAATAAATACTTACCGACTTACTGATGGATTAACCCTGCTTTTATTCAGGGAAGCACTTAAACTTGCAGTATGAGGCTCTCTTAATTTAACATGTCCATTTTCAAGTAATTTACAACGTTCTAGTAGACTTTCTGCTTCAAATGTCTATGAAAGAGGTATGAAATTAATATATCATAGTAATAGAAAATCTTCTGTATAGAAAACTAACTTTCAATTTAAGTTGAGTTTTCACTTGTTCCTTTTCTTTGCAAAGTGTAACAATTGCCAACCTATGTCGCTTTTCCTGTTCTTCAATTGATCGTGCTTTATCTAATTTATCATTCTCTGCTCTTAATTGACTCTGCTGCAGCTGATTTCTTAAGAATACGTTTTCTCCTTCTTTAGTTATAAAGTTATCCAATAATTTCTTATGATCTGCTTTTAACTTCTTCAGTTCTTCGACTACATTCTTCAACTCTGAAATCACAAATTTTTTATAACGATGTTAAAAGATATTTAAGAAAACGAAAAATTAATGTTACTAAATGTTACCTGAAATAGTATTCTCATCCTGCTGAAACGTTGAATTATATACTTTTTTGTGCATTAGCTTATTTTCAAATTCATTGTAATCGACAGAGACTATTGTACTTAAATCATTCAAATTATCTTCTTCTTTATTTTGACTATTGTACTGTGACATTTGTACGAAAGGTTTTGTTTTATATGTATTTGCATTTGAATTCTGAACATGTTTACTAGTCGATGGCATGTTATATGTTGGCTTATTTGTACTTGATTGAGAAAAGATGTTTGGATCCTGAAAAATTGAATGATCCTGAATTAAATATTCAATTAATAATTTGAACTGGTTTTAGGATCATGCATCCTGCCATTAGAACCTGCAAACAAGCCTGAGTAGCCACAAAATCTATTTCTTCAATTTCTTCATCTGCGAAATCATCACCCCAAATGTCATCGAATATTCCACTTGTTGCTTCATTATCCTTCGAAGTGCCTGCCAAATTTTTATTACTTGCCTCATATTTTGGTCGCTTGGCAGGTACAGAATGTTCATTGTCCCTCTTGATTTCTGTTCGTTTAAACATTTTGACTTCTACGTAACTTAAAAAATAAAGTAAAGCCTTATTTCTTCGTAGACGTTCTCCGTAGACATTCAGCGTTTCTTCATAGAGCGTATGCGTAGGATTTATTCATTAATTACATGCAATATTTCACGAATTTAATAGCATTGATGTAATCAATAAAATTTAGCAGCCACACCATAATAGTAACAGAAAAATTCTCTCTGATAGTAATTTAACGAGTTATTAAATATGAAGTTACAGGCTAGCTTCATGTGCCGACACTGCCGACCGACGGTGATCGCTGAACCTAACCCAACTGAACCCAACCTAGCGCTAGCAACGTGCGGCGCAGAATCCTTAAATATATGAATAAGATTCAACAATTGAAATTTTTTCTTTAAGGATGTATTTTTATATTTATAAGTATGTATTTTTATCATTTCAGCCCATTGATCAGGCATTAAACTATCTGCCTATATCAATTTTCTTTCAGTTTTATCCAAGGTAAACTATTTCAGAAAAAGAACATTACTTCTATGCATCCCATAATTAAGTATTCGCTACTGATATTATAATTACATTAAATTAATTTACTATTTTAGGCACTTAAAAATTGAGACTTATATATGAATTCTAACTAAAATTCGAGTAATACGATGAATCATTCTCATCACCTAGGAGATGAATAATAAACAAGAATTACAATCGATCTCGATTGTTGACTGTTCGTCCTGACTTTTCTGAGAACAGCTTTCTTCGGTTTCCTTCCTGTAAATATTTAATAAAAATTTGTTTGACATTATGTCCGATTTGACCAAAGATTTATTAACGCAATACTACGGGATCGGCTCCGGAACCAGTGGTAAAAAACTCCTGTCGATCCATCAGAGCGTTGAAAACGTGAAGAATGAAGAGGAGAGACAAGTTACTGATCAAACTTCCTCACTCGCGAATGAAGAAAATGTATCCGACGTGGAATCTCAGGTATAAGAGAAACCTCTGTCGTCGAAGTTTCATTATAATTGCTTTACCTCATTGATTAATATTTTTATAGAAGGAAAATGAAGATAATCGAAAATTTAGTACTGCCAGCGAGTCGTATTCATTACCTCAGCGAATTGTAGACAGTATAGAAAACGTATATGACACTGATGAAGTTTTCGATCTGTTTGAGATTGATTTTGGACCAAATATAATGTGTAATGACATTGGGAATGGCCCACCTCAAAATACGCCGCACGATGGATTACCAAACCATGTTACATCGGATTATATCAAAGCTGACGCCGAAGACTCAGGCAATTAATAATACTAGATTAATTTTATTACTTAAAAAAAATTTAAGTACTTTATAAAACTGCAATAAGATATTTTTTAATTTCCTTAATACATTAGAGAAAGTTCTGTTTAATTTTTCACTACAGAGATTGAAACAAGCGATCGGGGAGATTCAAACGAAAATGATTTAACTCTGTCATACGTCGAAGATCATCGGGGACATTCGGGCAACGTTGCGGAAGTTTATTCCGCAAAATTAAAATCGCCGACATCACCGGAAGATAATCCAAATTCGCCAGCGTCGATACAGAAAAGGGAACCCGTCTACAACGAGGCATTTGTAGACTTTTCTAACACAGACTTAAATCAGTTTCCCTGTGAAATATTGTACAACTTTTCACAATTAAGGGTATCTTACTTTGTCAAGTAATTGCACAAAAGATATTAACAGACATCTGTACAAGTGTTTCCTACTTAATTCTAACATTTGAGCTCATTGTTAGATGCTGTACCTGTCGAACAATAATTTGATCGAAGTCCCCGAAGAAATATTCACTGCTTTAAAATATTTAGAATGGTTCGATGTCAGAAATAATCAACTTACTTGTCTGCCAACGAGTATTAAACGACATATGTGTTTAGAAACGATTTTGCTCCAAGGAAATAAAATGGAATATCTCCCATTGGAACTTTGTAAGTTCGAACCGAACTGCTTCCTCTATACGATAAAATAATTGTTATATGATAAAGACGAAGATTACAAGTATTTGTTTTATTTTAGGCACGTTGGCAAATCTGAAAACTCTTCAAGTAGCGGAGAATCCACTTATCGTACCACCAAAGCACATCGTCGCTTCCGGTTGCGCGGCTATACTGGAATTTTTGCGAACCGAATGGAATAATGCACACCCCGAAGAAAAGGTGGAACCCAAAGAAAGTGAGTGATTCTATTTAATTGTTATAAATTCTTAATTGTTAAATAGAAATCAAAGTCCGGTTAACATTGATTACTTCAGACAAAATTGAACCGAAATTGTCGACGATTTTGTGCTACCAGTCTCCTCGAATGCATAAAAAGAAGATTGCACCATTAAACGATGCTGTTTATGACAAAAATGTGTCTACAAGAGAAAAGCGCATATCCTACAAACCCAGTAACAGGTACTACGGCGAAATATCATTTTCAAACAATACTTATACTTTAGAGGAGAAGCTCAAGTTTTATAATTCTTGCTTACAAAAAATGACTGAGTTCAAAAGCAGGAAAAAACAGCAGTTTACGGATGAAACTGATAATTATCTTGAGAATGAAATCAAGGAAATAAATGATAAAATTTTGCATCTAACGGGTCCGTCCCCGCGATCTGTTTACGTTAGAAAAAATGTAGGAATTTTAAAAACTTATCGTAGAGCGATTGAGAAAGAGTGCAGGCGCGTCGTTAATAAAGTTAATATGCCTGTTTTTGTAAAAATAAAAAATAAAACACCGCTACGAAAAAATGATAACAAATACAAAGATGATATAGAAGATGGAGAACGGGTTTTCGATATCGTTACGAAAGATGGTAAAAGGTTTCAGTTGAACCCGTTAAGATTGAACGATTCAAACTGGATGTTCTCCTGCTTGCAGAATTACATAGGAATAAAAGAATAGTTGAATTAATTGTATAAATTGTATATAAGAATGAGTAGTGAAATTACTTATGTATATGTATAGTTATCGTAATGAATAAAAATGATTTTTATTCAAAACAGATTTTTTTACAATTCTAAATCATGAATTTTATTTAGTAAGATTTAAATTTCTGTTATATATTTCATAATTAATTGTGATTCGTATTAATTTAGATGCGAAAATGCAGGTGCAAACGTTCCAATGGAACAGCGTTTATTATGGTATGCCAAATTAAAAGAATTGCTCGCTAAACAAACATCAAAACTCCAGAAGATGAAGTACGATTATTATTTAATACTTCAATGTCTTTTACATCAAACGAACTTTCTAAACTTTTATCGATCTTTAGAGATGAAGATGTCTTAAAAGAATGGAGAAGAGATAGAAGAAGTTATAGTAAAGCTATTGAGAAGGCGATGAAGAGAAATGAGGGTATAATATCGATTACAAATTGTTTCATATTTGACCTATTATTAAATAAAATGTCTTTGTATTAGATGACATTCCGTTTGGAATCGACGTTGAGGACTATGCATCTATATTTGAACAAAATTCTAAGCCGGTAAGATTGATACATGTTCCTCTAAAATTCATAGGTATAAAAATTTCTCTACTTCTGATTAAAATTACAGAAAAAGCTGGGACCAAGCAAGAGAGGAAAACACGAATTTATAACACCAGCGTGAGTGACGATATTCATTTTAAAATAATTAATTAATATAAACTAATTCAAATAATGATGTTTTTGTAGGGACGTTAACAAAAAGATCAACGAGCTACTAGAATCTTTAAATAAACTTGAAACAAAGATAACAGACGATACACCTAGAACCAAACAGAATTTGTTTAGAAATGAAATAGGAAAGGTGCACAGATTGTCGATAATCACAATTCAGTAATTACATGATTCTTTATGATATTAATGTATTGCATTTCTTTTCTAATTCTAGTTACTGGAACTACAAAGTGAAATTCAGAATTTACGAAAGTATGATTACTGAACAATGATATTCATGTGTTGCCGAGACGTTAAACAGATCTGAATGTTTTTTATAAAAATCACCAATTACAATACAAGAACAATTTGGATTTCGATGTTCGAGAACGTCAGGAGTTATCAGTCTTGACATATTTATTTAAATAAATCAGTAGTAATCACAAATCGTTTCAATAGCGTTAATTACACGTACAGTTACTTATAAATACACGACGAGACAACTGGAAAAATGTTTACTGCACGCACAGCGTTTAAAGAGCGTAAAAAAGAGAAAATACGTATTAAAAAGCTGGATCGCATTGAAAAATCGATCGTATTCAAATCCTCCGCAACGTGTGCACATAGTTTTCCGCATCAACGAAAATAACAGTAAATTAATCTTAAAATGTAGTTGTGTGTAAAAAAGCGATAAAAATATAAATAACAATTTTTGCTTTCCAGCCTTCCCGTCAAAGTAATAAGTTTTCACCGGTCCTCTAAGTTCGACCGCCGTGAAAACGCGCTAGTATAAAAACGTTACAAATACATGATTCGAATTAAAATAGACCTCACAGTTACGTGAACAATTTTCACGGTGATCGAACAATCCACTTTCGTTTGTACATGGCACCGCATATCAAGTTTTAGTACCAATCGTTTTTTTCGATCGGGATCGAGAAATCACACCTTAGTCTGTGATACAACTGTTTTGTAATAGTACTATGACCGATAATAATTATAAGGCAAATATCTAATAAGATTTTCATACTCTATTTGAAATCTTTACCTCTCGGTATGTACGTTTGTATGTGTTCATCTTATTCATTAGTTACTTTCTATAGTTTGAGTCTGTACATTTGATACATTGACGCATACAATGTGATAAACGAACAGCTAGCTTGTTGGTACTTAACCAGTGATGTAACGACTTAACTGCAATTACTAACTATTAGTGTAGCATACAGTTTATCCATTTCGTTTTCGAAACAAATTTTGTAAATCTTAAAGCATTATTTGCTTAACACATTGCGTACCGCATCAAAATCTCTAAAATATACGCCGGGGACCACACATTTTTGGGCACACTGCACGTTATCGTTAAATACTTCCGCAAGTGTATCAGTTTCGTTGGTTTCCTTCCTGTTTCTGAGAGAAGGCATTTCTAAAAGCCAGGAAGTTGAATGGCCAATATACAATGTAACTGTAATACTTTATGGATTCGCGCAATTTTATAATTTTTCGTAGATTGATCTGCACGGTTTCCACCAATGAGATCGCTTCATTCGATATGGACAAGACAGTGTGTCCAAGGTCTATAACCGATAGCGCGAGAAAAACGAAAAAACTCGTGAGCGGTACACAATGTGTTAAAACATGACAGAGAGACTGATCGTTATTAAAAAATAAACAATATATAAAATATATTATCTAATGTCTTTGACATTAGAGAATTAAATTATAAAATTATCCAACTATTTTCAAATAATATAAGCGTTAACGAAACGATATTTCTAAACAAATCTATAACTTGCCTTCGGGACGCTACCGCGTCCCTTGATAATATATATATGCATATAATCCCTGGTTATACATACGCAACTAGCTATATGTACTCGCATTCTTGTATTCAGAAATCATTAATAATACCAATGTTTGCGTGACCAGAAGCAATTAGGACAATGCGTTAAACGTAAAAAGGCCTTATGATAGGCATATTAAATATCAATTATGTACAACTCTCAAAGTTAACATTTTCACTACCGGGCAGTAAAATACCTATGGTTTAAGTTTTAGAAACGCGAGCTTGATAAAACTAGACTTTTTATGATATTCTCTTATGGCGTTACAGCAAATGAGGTTCCCCTTCTCTTCTTATCCGATAATTTCTTCACCGTTACTCGTGCCTGCGATTTCGATTAAGAAAATATCTCAGTGAATTAAAAGCTTCGGTTAATTCGATTAATTGAACACACATACTGGCATTTCCTTTCTGTTTCGCATTGTACACCGCTCGTTATTGACCTTATATACATTTTCGTTTGTCAAGAAGATTTATTATTGACGCATATCGAATGTATCGATAGTGCGCACGCAAAGAAAAATATTCATAAGAGTAACAGATCCTTCTATTTTTTTTCTATTTTCCTCGTGTTGCTCTCTTCTATTTAATTATAACTATTGCACGTTTTACACTTTACTCTGAATCCTCTCCGCTCAACGTTCACTGTAACTTAATTCTTGTTGCATTATTGTATGTACATCGTATGCGCGCATTATATCGATAAACACATTTGGGTGATCTTTTTTGTTTTTCTTCCTTTTTTTATACTGTTTTTGATTCAGGTCAGCTATATCTTTTAGTATAGTATTAAATACGAAGATATAAATCTTGATCTGCCTGCGTTTTTCTCTCTTTTATTCGCAAAGTATTTATGGCGAATTGATCTTTGTTGATTGCGCGAAAATAATAATGATTGGATGGTTTCTCGGACCATTTTTTTTCTCCAGAGGAGCTATATAAAACCTCATATTTAAATGATCGAAGTCTTCTTCGGAGATGGTCCAAGTAAATACACTTTATTCACAAATATCACTGGCGTACTCACTCTTTGTTAGAAACTTCTGCACATAGTTTTGATTCCAGTATGGTCCTCGTGCGTAGGATTCAAATCGACGAAACCTAATTTACTGTAGAACTCGTGAGTCTCCTTATCCTCTCTCGGCATCGTTGTATGCACACCGAAAGAACCTGAATAAGTTTTATCATCAAGATATGGACGTTGTAATGCATATTTCGAGACAAGACGTACGGAAAACTACTTACCGTTTGCTCTCAGAGCTGCTAGGATACATGTAATCAATCTTTTTGGGACAGATTGATCTGTAACGTTCGGCAATATACCACACATTACTTTTGACGGATGTTGCCTGCACAATTGTTCGCATACATCCGGCACAAACGAATGGAAATACTGTATGGCATCCTAAAAGCAAATCCCAGGAATTAAAAACCAAGTTTAAATATTTCTTCTTAAGAATTGATTGATGATCAATTATAGAGCAATACCTGAACGATTTGCGGCAATTCATTAACATTGTCATCCAACGGATATTTCATTCGCAGTTCGGGAATCCAAGACACGGCTAATTTCTGTTTATAAGTCTTTACATTTAAGGCAGCCAACGCGTAACCTACTATACCGCTTTCATCTTCAACGACCATACATACTTCTGGACACATAGTTAAGAAACCACCGACCAATCTGCATAGAAAAACTTGATATTGAAGAACCCCTTATGTATTAGACGTAAAACTATATTAGAAATATTTTATTTACCTATCGGCCACTGCAGACGAACTCGTGCAGCCGTTAATTTTATTGCACACGGCATAAACTGCTTCCTCGTCGTTTGGTAAGTAAGGCCTAATTGTGTAGATTTTACTACTGGGCACTTCTGGTGCTTTATAAATGAACAAGTCATTACCGCTGTCGACTGGAATCAATCTCTGCAAAGAGGAATCGTTCTATGTAATTATGTGAAATTCTATATAAAAATGTTTACAAGCGTACCTGAAGATCAGCTGTAAGTCCTCCACGGAATACCCATGGTTCTTGATCTCCGCTCATAAAAGTCTCTTTCCAGCCATTCGAGAACCCTATCCCAAGACACAATAAATGACCTTAGTAAAACGATGAAATGCGGATACGTTGCGCGCGCGTGATTATGCAGGTCGCAAAATTTATGAAAGTGGCCTCCACCGCTCTGAATACTAATTTTTGCTTAAAATTTGTAACATGCGTAAGTGTACATCGATCGATGGAGCTCTTAAGTATTTCCTTTATCTCGTTAGCGCTAACGTGTCTCTTACTTAAAATCAAGAGATTATCGCATTTACGAGATAAAGGAGCCTATCGATCGAAGATAAAACTAGGGTGCATCATTTCGTTAATGAATAAAATCATACGTAACTTGTTCACGATTAATCGTTCACTGTGGGATAAATAATTATTAAATAAAGAGAGACAAAGTAACTTATAGTGTTTACTTTAGAAACATTAAGAAACGAGTACCGTTAAAGAAACATTAATTTCTCAACATTTAATGTTGAACCAATTATGATTAAAGTAAATTATAGTAACGAAAGAAATTGAGTTTTAAAGAATGTTGCACCAAAGTTCGCGCAAAGACATATTCCTGAGATAATTGGGAGGAGGAAGGAATTGGGTCGAATGGTAATCCAGTTTGCCAAAATGCGCCTGAAATAAAACTCCTATTACTCCTGAAAAGAACACAGTTTTCTGGAACTAAAATAAATTAGTGCAGGCAAGTTGGCAAAAGGAGGATACATGTTTACTGATCATTCACAATTCACGAAAGACATCTCCATGGAACACAATAAAAGAGGTATATATGGTATTACGACGAACGGTAACTATTTGTATAAATAATAAATGTTACGAAGAAACAAAAGTAAACATAAGATACAACTTTTGTTGGTTGCGTTTGATCAGCACAGTTCTCAGGAAAAGTCCTTAATATTTCATAACATTGTCCTAGCTTTGCCAATTTTTTTAAAAATCTTTAGATGGACTTACTTCGCATGCAAAAATTATTAGAAAAGTAAAAAATTTATTGAAATATTACATTTGCATATGGAGTAAAAGTCATATTATTAAAGAGTGCAAATTTTATGTATGTCCAAGCGATTATCAAAATATGAGCAATATGTTTAACTAAGTCAAATGCAATTACTCAGACCAAAAGCTTGAACAGCAAGAATAAAGTTTTAACACACATTTCATGAGAATTTTTGCCAAATGAAGAAAGTATGTCCATCCTATTCTAAACTACATTATCTACTAGAAGCATTTGTATATAGATCCTTCAAGACGTCAGAACACGCTGCTTCTACGCGCCAGTTTCTTGCTTACATCAATTGTAATAATTCTTTCACAAAGCTTCAAAAATCATTTTTATCATAACATATTCATTAATTTGAAGCTTTGCTAGCCGCGCGCATTTTTTTGTTGGATTACTCAGACTGGTGAATCGCATACATGTGTAGCTTCCCTGGGTAAACGTTGTCATCGTCGACGGGAATCTGCCAAACGCTATCAACAAGACAGAAAACACAGAAATGCACGTTAGTCAGTGAATTGAAGCTGTACTGATCCTCATACATTTATACTGTTGGCAGAAACTATTCGCTGCGAACAGCGCTGAGGACCCTTTTGCTAAATGCTATTTCGTTTACATGTATCAATAGTATTAATGCAACGAATACATTTCTGCCAAACATTATCTGTGAAAGAAAGTCAATCAATATGTTAATAGCTGGCACAAGGTTATTCAAAACACGATATTTGTTCTGGTCCACATAGATGCTGTTAAATAGTTTCCCAGAAAGTGCTATGGAGAATCTTCTCGCCGGACACTTTGCGCTAGAAAGTCACATCAATTCTCTTTACTCTTACGAACCATTTTACTACGTATGATAATCAGAATAGATACTGTCATAATTTTCTCTAGAAAGTAGGCGAGAAATGTTGTGACATTCTTTGTTCACTAAGAGGACTATAGACAAGAAGCCGTTAGTCGATTAACAAGAAAATCATTTCGTAAGATATCGTATGCTGTTTTTAAAGCAAAACAGTTTATTGCAACCAATATTAAATAAGGATAATTCATGTTCTATTTGTGTATTGTACAAGAGTTTGATGTGCAACTGCATCTAATACAATTATTGTCGTTTCAGGAGACCGAAATCATGAATGAGTTTAATCCATATATTTGATTTGAATTGATTTTGACTTACGGCAACCTTGTGGTCATTTACGCGCGCTACATCGTACATTTGATTCTAAAGCGCAGAAACAAATGTACAAATTCTATTTCATAAATATGCGATCTATGAAACGTTTCGATTCCGATCGTTACTGATGTACGCTCACAACATAACTATAATTCATAAATAGTTGAATCACAGAATACTATTTTCTTAAACAAATTAAAAATTCTTTGGTTTTTGGTATAATTGCATTTTGCACTGTAGATATTATTTGACTCATAAGAAAAATGAATCTGCGAGATACTATTTTTAAATTATTTGTTAGAGGAAATTTATTTCTATTTTCTAATAATATTTATATTCGTACGGAGCATGTAACTTCAATTAATTTTAAAACAAATCAACAATACGTCAGTAATTTATGGAATCAATTTTGTTTTTTGGCGTGTTTTATGAATGTATAAATTATGTCATTTTACAAGGAAGTGTAGTGTGATATAGAATGCGATAAATTGAAAAATTATCTAAATCATTTTCGATTAAATTCATAACACTATTTAATGAAGAATATCTCAAATATTTGGTGTATTGAAGCTCTATCGAAATTCTATTTAATTATAAACTTTTATTAATTGCAAAAATCATAATTTGATTTTTGAAAAGCACAACTTTCTTGTAAAAAGACGAAATATGTGAGTTAAAAAACTGATAGAACATTACACTTACCGATACTCGAGACACTTTTGTTCTGAAATATAAGTATAGGTAATAAATTATAGTACTTTTGAGAAAAAATAATAACAGCACTCATCTGTAGCACCACAAATACAACTATCTACTAAGTACTCGATGTAATACGAAAATCAAAGAAAAAAATAATAAAATTTGAGAATATTTTACGTATAGTTCGTAATTTTGTATTTGGAGTGACTCAAGTGTGATGTTTTCAAAGTCTAATCATTGTACCAGCATACTAGCATTTTGAATGAACTTTCCTTATATTTTCATAGATATAGTAGATGTTTCCACAGTTATGTTTGAAAGTACGAATAATGGATCAAGAAATATTTAAATAGTATCAAACATGGTATTGCACTTAGAATGTTTATTAACACTAACTTCTATTTGATTTACTTTTCTCTTTTTTTCTTCGAACATAACTAATGAATGCATTTGACTTATTATGAAAATAAAACATGACTTACCCAACCATTTCACGTAACTATTTAGTAAAGACACAACTCCCCGCATGTCCCATACGTACGAATACAGATCGTACAATAGCTCGCGATTATTACAATACGTGAGTCTTTGAAACAGTCTGTTTACAGCGTTGCACATATCGTTCAACTTAGCAGCTCGTGTGTGCCATTCTTCGATCTGAAATTTGTCAAAAACTTATTTTTCAAAATTTCTCAAAGCGATAGTAAAATAGTAACTTACATCAGATTGAGACGAAGCTTCGTTTTCTTTAGGTTTTCTCATAACGACATGAGCGTTGCTCTTCAACCAATTGAACTCCTGCAACAACTGAATTCCTTGACCACCATGTTCGAACGGCAAATAGAACAGATCGCATAATAACGACAGATCCTCTTGGGTCAACCGTTTGTCGGCATCTATCGAGTCTTGAAGTTCTTGGTCTCCGCAATCGCCATTGTCATTTTCAACAATCATTTGACTACCATTTACAACAGGAGAGGTACCATCCACTTCCACTTGCATACTGCCGGAGGCTTCGCTACAAGTCTATGACATAAACGGACCATTAATTCAGCAAATTTCACGGCAGTAACGTTTAATAAAACTTACAGAAACGTTCTCTACCATAGCGTCATCCTCTGATTGAACTTTAGCTACATGTGCTGGAGAACTGTTAGGTGTAGTGTTGCAATCCATTGGTTCCATGGACGATAGATTGTTCGAACTCGGCGCGGTATCACCGCTAGTAGAAATTGACGAGATAATGGGCTCGCTAATGACAGTCGTTTCGGACACCAAGGAATTCATTACTGGGACAGGGGGAGGTACGAAGCCATCGGTAGTCGTCACGCTTGAGCAGACTTCGGCTAACGCCTGAAGATGGTTTGAAGTAGTCACCGGCGTAGGTGTCGCGAGAGCAGGCGTGGTCGTCGTAGTCGTCGTTGATGTGAGACTCATACACGTATTGACAGACGGTATAATCGGAATTGGTATCGTAGGGGCGACACACGGCTGTGGTTTTGCTATGACGCCCCACGCGTTTCGTTTCTTGTTAAATTCCAATAACCATTCATTAATAGCGTTCTTCAAAGCATATCGAGGGTGATATATGTTCGGAGACATCGTCAAAGGTACATCCTCACCGAGTACTCCGTCCTCTGTTTCGGTTTCCAATTTTATGTCGGCCGATACAGTATCATCTGCAAGGTACATAGAGCCAAGGAATAAAATAATGAATGTACTTTATATTAAAGAATAAAGATACTTAAACTACATACTTAAACTTAAGTCTCTTTTTCCATCTACGTTACATCTACTCCACTGAGCTAATGTATGGATTGCAATGAAGTTTGCCCCATATTCACAGTTCGGGTTGGTTAAAACGCCTCTCAATTTAGGAATCAGATCAGGAGATCTGCCGGAATATGGCCCCAAGAACACTCTCTTTTGGTCATAGTCGTTAGCGTGTAAATTATCCCATATCACTGGAGGTCTTCGCAAAACTTCGGTAATCTCCTCGATGGATTCCACAGTTAGAAGTCTAGATATTACTTTAGGTCCAGTCCACATTATGTCAATTTCTTGGGCTAGTTTACTGCCAAGGGTATTGAGATACTCTGAGGATGCTACGTTTGGCATTGCTCGTGTCGCGCAGTATTGTGTCGGACACAACAGGAATCGAGGTTGTCCAAGATGATGGAAAATATCATTCGTAACAGAAACCTAGTAAATCATCATATATCAATAATATATAACATAACAATTAAATTAATTAAATTATATGATACATACTTGTGCATGAGCGAATGATTGGAATACTTCTTTATCAGCTTCACTCATCTCTGGTTCTATGTCGTCGAACAACAATGCAAATGCTGTACAGCCGAACTGGCTAACTTGTTCCAACTTTCTCTTTAATATAGTGACTTCTTTTGTGCTTGAGTAAGTGATATCTAATCCCGGAGACAAGGCATAGTAAAATGTGATGCCACATTCTCTAGCAGCTGTTATCAACCCTGTTAAATGCTCTGCTTCTTCTACTGTGTACAGATCCCTCCAATATGCACGATGTTTATAGTCATCTTTTGGAGCATACAAGTAAGAATCCATTCCCCATTTTTTCAATCTGAAAAATTGACTGCATTTATTACAATGCTCCTAGCCTGCCATTAAAACTGGTCAGAGTCAATGTCAAATATGTACTTCTGAAATAGATCTTTTCTTTGCTCCGTGGTCCAAGGTCGACCATAAAATCCTGTAACATCAAACAGCATTTTTTTTTATGCAAACAATACGAGCTACTGTAACGAATACCATATTCGAATCATTCCCCCTCCTACGCTAAACGATCGCAGACGATGACCAAATATGTAAAGCAGATTCGATGCTGTAAAGTAAATACAGTCAGCTTATGTACCTTCGACAACGCCGCAGATAAAATTGCCGTTTTTCGTGTTCAAATTTGTGGCCCCATTTGTTTCCGCCATTGCGGACAAGAGGCACGTTTGTTTAGCAAGCACCGGACTACAAAAATGGCTAAAGGTCTATCTAGGCAATGTAGCTGGGAGTCGGAAATCCCGTCGTTTCTTGTTAGAAACGTTGGCGAAAGTAGACCGCCTTGCACGTTGTCCTCTTCGCAAACGCGATTCTGTTTCACGAACGTCACGACAGCATTACTCGTTTTCTTGGAAGAACAAAAGTCTGTTCGGAATTGCGTGCAATTCCGATGGAACAAAAATCCCGTCTCTAGTATTTCTCTCTGACAGACTGCACCGTCTGCATCCGCTGTCCTGATCGATACTAAACTAAACGATCCCTCGCTCGATCCATCGACCTCGAGACCTCGAGTGGATCACAGCGACATCTTCGATTTGATTCGAAGAGAGACTTCGAAGCAGTGCCCGCGTTTTATTCACGAAAAGTGTATTTAAAACGTATCAGTTTCATTATTTAAGTGAATTCAGTGTTATAACTAATTGTGTTTGGATACAAAACCAGAAGAAACAATGGTAAAAACAATGGTAAGAAGATATTTACAATAATAATTGCTTTGGCAGTATTTCGTAACTCTAACCTCGCATTGCAAGTGAATGCGACAATAATTCAAGTTGTAAGCGATAGCTATTCATTTTACAGCAACTTTTCATGGAAAATATTAATGTTACACAAAAGAAAACGTTTTTATTGATTGAAGTGTCATTTATTGTTACAGTTGGTCGAATAGGAGAAAAACAAGAGGTTGCAGTGCTTGCAAGGAGATGTCGATATAGGATACTTTATGTAGCAGCGATGCTCCTTCAAGCTTCGTCCTGTTTTCAAAATCAAGGTAAGTTAAGTTAAAACGACATTTTTACTCATAACTCATCTTTCATTTCGGTAAATAAAATACAAAATCGTATGATCATTTTTTCACATTTCGTGATTTGAATTTTGTATTTATAGTAAGCTCCACAAGAGAACTACACGTAGAAACAGATTTATTTAAATTTTTCAAGACAAAATACACTAAATGGATGTAGACTATATTGGTTATATTGTAATCTTCTATTACGAGATTTCTACTTATCCCGGTTCAATCAATCAGCAATAAACTCGTTATAACTCGTTATTATGTACGGTATAACGAGATCCCGTGCATCAATCGCAAAATGAAAGTTGTAAGGGGGCGAAATTCATTCTATATGTTCGTTTTATTAGCGGCATCGATTAAACGTAGCCATCGTATATATATATATATATATATATGCGATATCGGTATCGTATAATCAACCATAGTGGTGGTTCGTGCCGCAGGAAACGCCACATAAAGCATAGTTCTACAATACTCGTTTATGTACGCGACTAACATTCAAACACATAACTTCAAACGGATGCATTATTAACGAAATTTTACCAAAAGAATGTTAATTGAATGAGAAGATAATGGAATAGCATACATATATTGCATACATGAGTATGTTTCACGTGTTTTTGTTTAAATGGCAATTTCTGTTCATTTTATGCGTGATTAAAGATCAATGAAAATAGCCACGAATTAAACTTGAATTTCATGTTTATCAAAAAAGTCTTGAGGGAAATAGGATGGAATTATCATTTTATTTCATTTCTTTCTGTCATTTGATTTTCAACTTCATTTTTTACATTTGAACCATACGCATTCTTGTTATAATATAATAAGATAATAACAGAAAATTTAAAAATATCAGTTCATTTCTTGGAAATATAAATTGTTAGATCGAGTACGTATAAAGTTTCATATCCTGTAATGAGAAATACAATTCATAGAATGAAATCAACCTATCCAATTATTTCAAATCGTCAGGGAAATCGTATATAAATTACGTATTCGATTGTGATACGTCGCAATATTCTGATTATTACCACAAACTATTTTTGGGATAATTAGAGAAATAAAAAGCTCAGAATTAATTAGGAAAAAATTACATTTGTTTAATTCATCACTACGATGTCTTCGATTTTTAGACTAGTTTCAATCNATATATATATATGCGATATCGGTATCGTATAATCAACCATAGTGGTGGTTCGTGCCGCAGGAAACGCCACATAAAGCATAGTTCTACAATACTCGTTTATGTACGCGACTAACATTCAAACACATAACTTCAAACGGATGCATTATTAACGAAATTTTACCAAAAGAATGTTAATTGAATGAGAAGATAATGGAATAGCATACATATATTGCATACATGAGTATGTTTCACGTGTTTTTGTTTAAATGGCAATTTCTGTTCATTTTATGCGTGATTAAAGATCAATGAAAATAGCCACGAATTAAACTTGAATTTCATGTTTATCAAAAAAGTCTTGAGGGAAATAGGATGGAATTATCATTTTATTTCATTTCTTTCTGTCATTTGATTTTCAACTTCATTTTTTACATTTGAACCATACGCATTCTTGTTATAATATAATAAGATAATAACAGAAAATTTAAAAATATCAGTTCATTTCTTGGAAATATAAATTGTTAGATCGAGTACGTATAAAGTTTCATATCCTGTAATGAGAAATACAATTCATAGAATGAAATCAACCTATCCAATTATTTCAAATCGTCAGGGAAATCGTATATAAATTACGTATTCGATTGTGATACGTCGCAATATTCTGATTATTACCACAAACTATTTTTGGGATAATTAGAGAAATAAAAAGCTCAGAATTAATTAGGAAAAAATTACATTTGTTTAATTCATCACTACGATGTCTTCGATTTTTAGACTAGTTTCAATCGATATAATGAGTAATTATTAAAAGAGGTACAGTAAAATATTCAGGATTAAAAGATTCTTTTATTGAATTATACGGAAAGACGATCATCGAGATGACAATTATTACAAGTTTATATATTATTATGGTTATATACGACTAAGGAGCTTAAATTAAATTACTTCATTTATTATTTGGTAATCTGAAATTACGGTAGCTTATTGACTATACATAGAACCATTCCAGCTGGGATTATACCATTAAAAATTGCAGATCAGTTTTACTGAACAGGAAGTAGGATCATCTCCCATGATGTTATTTGATTTTATCACTTATTAGTTTATGATCTCGCTATATTATGAACTATTTCTATCGTATATATCGCTACATGTTAAGTATGTATGTAATTTCGCGCTTGCGTCTTATGTTGGAATCGAAGGGGTTGACGAATCGTTTCATACGAGCGTCGCGCAGAGGCGTTGCAGTCGGTCCTCCAAAGAGGGGTGTAGTTTTTTTTTCGGCCGCGTTGGGGGTGACGAAGGGGCGGATATGGCCCGCGGTCTTAACGACGGAGCCGTATCAGTGTGAGGCCGGCTATCAGCCGCCTAACATCGAGGTCGGGGTTACGCTTGCACACGTAACACGGCTGCCGCAGGCACCCACACATACACTTGCGACACCCGTGCGCACGGAATCTCGCGGATTCTCTCCGTCGTGGTCTCAGCCGGAGCAGAGGAGGGATCTGCGAACTGTTCACGCGGGGAATCGCTTTTCGGCCGTCTTTGGGGTGGGCAGCCTTTCTCTCCATGCAGTATGCGTCGTAATCGATAAGGGTTCGGGAGCGGGGCGCGTGTATGGATGAGATCGTCTTAAAGGAAACGTTTTGTCCTTCGAGCACATCGTAATGTCGTAATGAATGAAAGTCGCGTGAGAGGGAAGGAGCAAGTGTGAGGGACTGAACGAGTCGAGTGTATGCATGAGAGAGAGGGAGAGAGAGGGAGAAGAGAGAAAGAAAGAAAGAGAGAGGAGGAAGAGGAAGGAATCGTGGGTGCCGAGGTTAAGAGAAAATCGTGACCAAAGGGCGAGAATGGTGGGGATAAAGGGTGGAAAAAAGAGAAGATCTCGCGCGCGTTTTTGTGTCCTCTAAACGGGAGGAGCAATCGGAAGGACGAGTCGTACGTAATCGTGGACAATGTGCACTGTTCGATTCCTCGTAACGAGTCTTGTTTTCGTTTGACAGTCGCAGAGAAGGGAGCAACGGTGCGGCGAATACGTCGAAACGAACAACCGGCCCCGGAAGAGTGCGGACAACCGTAGACAAGTGAACCTTAGACAGGGCGAGGTTGAGAACAGAGAAAGAGCCGTAGTGTCGCGGGTGGTAAGGATAAAACACGTAAACAGGTCACACGAGAGAGCCGTGTTATCGGTGTCTCGTGCTCCGAGAAGGGGAAGTATCGAGATATATTGGCGGTGAGTGCGGTATCGAGAGTAATTAAGCAGTCGTGGGATTATTCGGTCATAATGGCTGATCGCGATTAACCGAGAGAGGCAGAGAACCCGTGTGCGTGATCGCTGGTGTGCGCTGGCTGCATCTGTCCAAAAGTATCGCGACAGGAATCGAGAGAACAGAGACCAGAGGGAAGGGGGCAAGTGTTATCGGAAAAATCGAATGTTGTTAGCGGCCGTTGGCAGGAGTCGGGACGTCGACTGAGTGAGATACAAGATAAGCAAGGAGCGAGTTGACGACTCGTCGTGATCCTGGTCGTGGTCGTCGGACGAACGTCGATTCCCACCCCCCAGCCTCCATCGCGTAGGAGAAGAGTCGATGGGCTTGCGAGGAACACGGCTGGATCGAGTCGAAGCGTGGCAACGAGCGGCGGTGGAGCACGATTCGTGGCGGGCAGATGATTTTCGATCGATTGACGGTCGCAGACCATCGCGCCACCGAGCACCGTTACGTGTGTAAGCTACCATGCCGTCGGAATGTCCTCGGAGATGTGAACCGACGTTCAGTGACGACGACACTTAGCTGAGATGTGTCATATCTGACAGAGGATCGGAAGAACAGCGGTACCCACGACATCTGGTTCTTTTAAAACGATGCTTGGATACATTTTCGACGGAACGAGAAGGAGCATACGGTGATCAACGATATAACGAAAGAGGGAGGAAGGGGCAGAGGACAAAAGGGGGAAGAAAGCATGGCACGTCGGTACTCGCGTGTGGCCCAGCGAAACGTGAAGAATCGCGTCGCCGCGACGACGATACGCAGGAAGCAGCACGAGCGAACCGAGACAAAGCACGCGACCGTAGCAACCCGTCTCCCGCGGCTCGTAAACCTGTCTCGATTCTTGTGAGAGGCGCCCCGTCGACATCGCTTTTTATGTGTCCTCGTCAGAGCAGCGACGAGCGAGAGGATTCGGCACATTGCCCGTCGGCCGCACGTGCGCATTGATGGTCGATAGTGAAACTTCTTCCCGGAGAGCCAGATAGACGCGGAATAATCCTTATGCTTTCTCTCGTGTCGGGTTTTCGTGTCGAACAGGTGTGAGAGACGGCCGCGCACGCACACCGCTGCCGAACGAACACGCGCAATCCGTCCCAGAACGAATAGTCATAGATAAAAATAAAAGGAAGGAGAATAACAAAAGCCGGAGAGGCGGTCTATGTGGAGGCATTCGAAAACGGAACCATTCGACGGCCGCAAGGAGAATAGTCGGTGACTAGTCGTACCAATCGTGTGGAGCGTATCGGGCGGCGATAGAGAGGGCAGATAGAAGAGGAGGAAGAACGGGCATGGTTAATATACGAGGCGGTGTGATCGTTTCGAGCAAGCAACAGCAGCAGTACATGCTACGGTGATCCGTATCAATTCGCGACTGTGATTTTTAAGCTTAAGGTTTAAACAAATATTAAGAAGAACGAGAACGAGGATGCGAGGTGGGATGAAGCGAGAAGTGGATGAATAATATAAAATAATTAAACGCAAGCGAGAACGCATAGGGGAATTAAAAAAAAAATCGTCCATTGTGATACTAAGATATACTAAAACGAGGATTAGGTGAACACGTGCGCTCAAGGAGATGGGTGTGAATGAAAGGGGGCGCGACACAGAGTGTGCCAGGCTGAAATGCGAGTGTAATTAATGGAAACGATGGTCGATCGCGGGGCATGCGTCGGATCTACAAACTGTGATACACCGATAACCATACCGAGGAGAGCCTGATGTTCGATCACTAACGTCGAATCGCGTGGTATCCGACCTATCCATCCAGGATTAAAAGAGGGATGAATCGCCGGTCTCGAATCGTGTCTTCGGTCACTTCGTGATTCCCCCGCAGGTACGTGCACTTTCTCATCAACGTTTCGACGTGATTCGATACATCTACATCCGTTCAATAATCATTAGAGTTCTCCACTTTCGTTCCATCAACGATTTCGTTTGATTAATTTTTCAATCACCTTAATTACCAGCGATGTGTCATGAACGCGGATTGTATGTCAAGCAGACGGAATTAAAGCGATTCATGATTTTTTCACACGATAATTAACGTTAATTAAATGAATGCGGTAAAACTATTTCAGGAATCGTGTACGTTGTCTTACCTTCTCGATAAAATTGACGCGACAATCGTTTGAAATTGGATTTCACGCGGAAATGTATCGTTGCTAGAAGTTTTTCGCATTATTCAAATGCTTCCTATCCGAACGGCCTTGACTCTGTTTCCGCGTTATCATTGCAAATGAGCTACGCGTAGCTCGAAACTGTCCCTGCCGCCACGAGACCGTACCGTGACACGTCATGATCAACGATAAAAAAAAATCACGTGTACATTTAGAGCTTCGCGGTCTGGAAATCACGCGAAACTCCTGCCGCGCGAAATTAACCAAACGTCTGTACACCTCTTTGCAAACTTGGAAAAATTAATGCTATCGAAACAGTTGTCTGCACGCAATTCATTCAACTATCTCCTCATTGCTGAGTTTCAAACACACTTTCAACTGTCAAAAGTACTTAGTTGCATCGATTATATTTATTTTATGTATAATTGTTAATTTAGGAGATTCTTGAACGCGTTTAAGATTTATCACACAATTTCCAAGTAAAGAGATTTTCCCATATAAATATGTTTTACGGAACAAAGTTTCCTCGTAATAGGGCTGGTAATGGAGGGAATCGATTTTTAAAAGTTAAGTACGCGTGCACTTGGTCAAAATCGACTTGGAAGAAAGCGAGCAGTAGTTCAAACACGACAATCTTTTAATTGTTGCAAGTTGTACTTTTTTTTTATTTCATACATGTAGGTTTTCTAGAAAAAATTGCCAACAAATAAGTCTGAAGTTTAAGAACATTTATTTTGCACGCTAAACATTGTCAATCTTAATACAATATTTTAATGAGAAATTAGTTTTTATATTTTCTATTGGCTCAAATAATCTAATAACGTCACATAAACGTCATGAATCTCTATTTATAACAACCCTCTTATAACAAATACAAGTAACTTCAGTCGGAACTTCTGATCTATTTTCAGTCAGTTCAGTCGTACAACATACTGGAAGATTCCCAAGATCGCAAGCTTCTCCGCTAACCGTAACAAACTTTCCGTGATCTAACTCATAGCGCGGCGTCAGATGCAAGAAGTGACGTTGATCCCCACGAAGGCCTAGTGTGACAGCCTGGTGATCGGGCGAAAGAGCCGCGGGGCGCAGGTGAACCAGGCGCGAGGACAGACGGCGAAGAGAGGAGTGAGATTGGATAAGCGTCGCCGGAGCCGCAGTCACCAGGCAATCGTGTACCACCCCCTGGCCACGGGGGGTGGGACAGAAAGACCGTCAGCGTGGGTGCCGGTGCTGCAGGGGCGCGCCTGGCCCGTCGGCTCGCCCGGAGATTAGCACGCCGACTAGCGGCTAGCTCGGGCCCGTTTCGGCGTACCGGCCTGGCGACCTCGGGGGGACTCACGTCGGCGGCGGTGGCCGTGGCGGCCACGGGGGAGCAATCCGCTCCCCCAGCAGCTGCGCCACGGAATACCACGACGAACGGGACCACCGCGAACGGGTCGAGCTCGAGCTACAATCGCAAGAACAGAGCCATGTCCATGAGGAGCCTGCACCGACGCGTCTCTCACCCGTAAGTAACTTTTTGCCACCATTCTTATTACATAGCCTAGACTAGATCGAATGATGTTAGTGTCAAAAGATTGGGTACACATATATACATAAAATGTGAATGCTTAGATCCCATTGATTTTTAACTAAACAGGAAATCATTCAATTAGTTTTAAAAAACTATACTTCTTGCTTTAGTTTTTTTTTTAGTTAGTCTTCTGATTTTTGTTTGTAAAGAGTTCTCTGAATTCTGTTTTTCGACACTGTCTACATAGCAACGTAACTATGCTACATGTGGCCAAAGATTTAATTAAATTATAGAGATATAAATAATCAAAACTGTGTACCTAAAATTTTGACGATCAATGTTTGATATACTATTTGTATATCCAAGGACTTGTGCACTTTTATACTTGATTCAAGTTAGTGGTTAAAATGCTGAAATGTGTATGGGATCGAGATTGCTAGAGAACATTTTAATTTTCGAGTTTCCGCCATTAGATATATTTTTCAATTAATTCTTAAGAATTGAACAATGTAACTATCTTCAGGCATTATTTAATTAAAAAGCAACAAATACGTGCGCTCGGAATTTTATCTGCATATTTGACTTCATAAGAGATTAACAACAGAAGTATTTTGCAAAGCGGATTACGATCTCATCACTTTCTCGTTTGATTTAGGTAGGAATTTTCTAGTTAGGATTTGAGGAAAGTTGTTGACATTTTGGATCGATCGACTCGTAAAGCAATTGTCTGTAAAAGATCCGGATTTGAATAATAGTCCGATAATCCAGTTGGATATCCGTTTTTTTCCTGCGGATTGAAAATAGGAAGAAATGCTAGAGGAGAGATTTGAACGGTTTAACAACGTCGAAATTCCTATACCCAAACTATTTTCGATATCCGTGATATTTCCGCGAGTAAAAATACTAACATTCAAAAATGTTAAACATTTCTTATTATATTCTATTTTCCTTGTATTATAAATTATTTTAAATCTTTCCATCTGTTATCAGCAAAATTATAGTTTATTTATAATTTATACTCTACGTACATCTTATATTTTATTTGGTATTTATATTCTTATATTTATAATTTTCAATTATTTAACATAATCGTTGCAATGTTCAGTCTGAGTCGTGAGTCACTTCTGTCTGACCACGCTCAGACAATTTCCCTTAGCCTGCCGTTCTGAACTGAAGTAGTACAGGTCAATCATATCTCCTACTGTACTATAATTCCTTATTCACGCATAATTTGATCTAAAAAAAATTCACCAATTTGATATAATGGTACGAATTCAACAGCAGTAAACGAAATTTTAAGTCATCCGACAATTCGCTTCATCTAAGGATTCCAACAGTTTAAAGTCACGACTAACTTCGTTGAAAGTTAAGAACGTAGAAACGGGGTTATGCACGGAGTTGAAAAAAAATTTGTTTCCAAGAGCTCCGAGCTTAACGAATATCAAACATTCTGGGTGTCAAGATTCTCGACATTCTCGCACCTACGCGTCGTCATTGCGCCTGACGCGACGATGAACTTAAAACCCCGAGTTGAGTTCTCCTTTCACGCGAATTTCACTTTATTCAGTATCAATACTGCCGCGCATCTTCCGACTATATTCGCCCGGTTTTAATAGACACGTTCTCGATCCCATTCACAGTATCGCAGCTCGTAGTATAGCATTGCGACGCATTCTCTATACGCTCGCTATTATCCAAAGAAACGACGACTGGGAGGCGGAACTCGGTGTTCGAAATTTAATTTTGGCCGGTTGCACGCGCAATCGCGTGTCCGCTTCATCTATTCTCCACGAATTTGTTTCGGAACGGTGCATTTATAAATATAACTATCGACCCGCACTTTTACCAGTCGCCGGAGTAAAAATATTAGAGGGGATCGCCGCTTCGAGCGACGGTCTCATCGGATCCGCGAAATCGGGACGCTTGGGAAAATCGCAAGCGACGTTTCCTCAGCTTAGAAAGACGCGTTTCCGTATGAATCGGGAAAGATCCTGAATTCTTAGTCGCATGGATGAGATTCGTTTCGCTTGAGAACCGCCGGCTCGTGGATTATAATAATCTCTCGCGAGTCTGCTGTCTAAATTCTTTTTGTAACGAGCCAGGGATGCACTCGTAACACAACTGAGTACTAAATATCAAAATGTGAAAAGACGAGTCTGAAAAATTTGAGCTATTACCAGATTTCACATGCGAAATTTTTAATTAAAATATTTGTATAAAACAAAAGCAAATTTTGTACAAGCTTCGGATCTAATTTATTTTCGTATATTTGCACAGCTGCACTTGAATATAATTAGAAACATTTCAAGTGAATCCGTTGCAACGAAACCTGAACAAATACTTTTTTTGCTGCTATAATTAGGCTTTGCAAAGCAGCACACATATTCAGATTAAGCAGATTATAAATGAACACTTTCGTCACGTAATTAATAGACGAAAGGTACATCTGTTTTGATATCGGTTTCGGTTATTTACATAAACATCATCGATTGAATTATCAGTGAAATTCACAAATGATTATTTTAGTCAGAGTATGCTGAAAATTATTCAGATTGGCGGTCGTTCACCGATTCGAATTCCCTTCGCGCTGTATTTTCTTGAAATTTCCCTCCGGTTTCCGGGGCTTCATCGTTAGAGAGATATACACGGAATGAGTGATGCACGCATTCCTCAGGGGCGGTTTTCTAAAAAAAGCACACCGCACGAAAATAGGCGCGCGCGTTTATCAGCGCGGTAAAGCAAACGCGTGCCGCCCCTCATGCGTCAACAAAGTTTGCTAGCATCGTTACGCTACCTTTGAACGGGACAGAACAAACTGATGAACTGCTCAAAACAATTAGGGGAATCTGACCGCGTTATCTATGACACCGGCTGGCTGAAAAAAGTATGTAATGCGTGTACAGAGTGAAATGTGGGAATTAACTGATATAAACTTTGTATTCCCAGTTGATTATTAGTTTGTCAGAGTCCTGTGGCAATTCCCTAATCTATTAAAAAAATTGTTTCAAAGTTTCTTAATATACAACAGTGAACAGTAACCGTACTGGAATTTATCCTCTATGGAGAGATAATTTGTTGAACTTATAAAATTAAATTGAGTTAACTTTCTATGACCAAGTTCTAGTATTAGAAGATTGTCATTATAAACATATTGAATGACGTGTGTAAGAATAAAACGATAGAATATGATTATAAATAGTATAACATAATAGAGTTTGATATACGTATACGGTGTTCCTAATTGCTTGGAGTAATCGCTGTTTCTCTATGTATTCGAGCTTAACACCCTTAAGTCGCGAATCGGGCAAATGGTAGAAAAAAAAATCAAACGGTTTACAGTACCGGTCAAGCCAAGTTGAAATCTACGTTAACGACTAGCCAAAGTCAATTACCGTGAGCTGAAAAGACGTGACTCAACGTAACGGGCGTGGAATAATGATTAACAGGTTGCGACGCGGGGTCGAGTTGCAGCGCGAAACGCCGCTTTTTAACGACGTCGATTAATCCTCCGGATAAAACGTCGAAACGTCTCTGTTTAACGGGCTCCGCGGATTGATCGTTGGAAACAGGGCACAGGCCACGACCGCTGGATTCGCGTTCTCCACGAAGTAACAACAGCACCGGAGAAATCGATAGCTCGATCCGAACGCATTCGTTTATCTTTCTTCTTTCGTTCGCCCGCAAGTTACGTAACGTTCGCGTGAAAAAGTCGACGACGGTTCCTCGGCTGGCTTCCCTTTTCTCTTCAATCGCGAAGTTGGATCCTTTCGTTTCTCCCGGCCCGGGGAATGAAATTGTGGCCCCGGGCTGTGAATTCACACTTGCCCGTGTCATCGCTGACTCTTTGTTCGCCGAATGATACGCTTTATCGGGCCTATGCAAATATCCTTGCGTTAAATGACGCGTCAAACCCGCGCCGGGTTGCCCCATTAATGCGGAGAACTTTTTAACTGTGTCCTTTCCTGCCCGAAAAATTGCTGAGTAAACAAAAAAAGCATCTCTGTCCCGCCTTGTGTCGTCAATACAAATTAGATCAGCGCACGTCGCCTTCACAATATTTTTTACTTCAAACGTTCATGCGTGAATTTGTGAAAATTAGTTTACTGGTATTTCAAATTGGATCCAGTGTCTATAAATTACTTTTCATCAGCGTTTAAAATATCAGAACAGTGTCATTCTCTTTGGAGTGAAAACTGTCTGTTCCTGAATTAGAAACTAAAAATCGATCTCGGTAAACCTATATATTCCTTTGGTTTCGATAACTCTCTGGACATTCTTTCCATACGTTCGGTCATGATTAAAATAGAAGACGCGGGTGGCGTGTCGAAAAGGGTTGTCAGCTCCGTCCATTGAAACGGATGTAACGTTTCAAACGGGAAAATCTCTGAATCGTCAAAACCGTCCAATCTCGTCTCAGTTTTCGTTTCAAAAAATCGAAACGATTCTTTCTTGGTTCAATGGCCGAGAATATTCCTGCAAATATTTGACAGCCAGGCAAATGTGTTTCTATTTTTGGCAATCCGCGAGTTGAGGTAGCCGCGAATATATGCGTTGCAGATTTACAGCCGGGAGCCGATTGTTTATGTTTGAACTGAATGAAATGGGACGCAATGTTTTCGCGTACGCGCCGTTTTGTTTCTGTAATTCCTCGGAATAATTATGCGAGCTCGACGGATTAACGACAACGCGATCGTTAAGCTGAAGCCAGAATGAAAGGCGGAGATTACAATGGGACGCGTCTCGTTCGAATCAAAAGGCGTTCTGAACAAACGCTCTATTAATTCCGTGTTTATCGCCATTCATTCGTTCTCTCACTCTAACGTCACGTCTTTCTTTTCCTTCTTCATACACTTGGTTATCGTCGCCATCAACTGCGAAGAATACTTAAAAAAAAAAATTGGAATACTCGTTATAAATAATGACTGCTTTGTTTCAAGACTTTATTCAAGTGCTTTATCTCCTTTTACTTTTTTTGTATCATCTTCCACGTTTAT